AAGACCCGACGTCCTGCCGAAGACCCGACGTTCCGTTCAAGGCCTGACACTCAGTTCTGACATCTCACTTAAATACTTGATTGTAATCGAATCACTCTTGGAGGTGACTCAGCTCTTTGTAACCAATTCAAAGTCTAGTGGAATCATTTTCAACTGGGCTAGGCCTCGTGGTTTTTCCCTTTTAAGGGTTTTCCACGTAAAAAATCCTTTGTTCTCTGTGTGTGTTAGTTATACGTGCAACGCTAAGACGCAAAATTAAATCTCTATTGCCGCGTATTTTCTAGCCCGCAACAAACATCATTTTATCTTCATATAAATTATGAATTTAAATGCAAATATATACTGCTTCATCTATTTCCAAATAGTATAAAATTTTAAATAGATGATACAAAAAATACACTTTTACTAAACATCTCAATATTAAGAAAACTAAAGGATCTTAAGACATCTCATTCAAAGAAGATGATGAAACAGAACAAATTAAAAGACACTTCTATTATGAAATAAAAGATTAAGAAACATCAAAATATCAAAATGATAATTTAAATGACATGTTTAAATTCTCTTCTGTGAAATAACAAGCCACTTTCCACTTTCAAAATAATCAAATGTCACTACATGTTTAAATTCTCACATAATTAGTTAAAACTATATCTATTCTGCACCTTTTTTTCTACTAGCTTGACCATACAGTGACTTCAATGGATTCTATCGTCCTGAAATAAAAAAATTAGAAGGCTTCTTCATTTAATAATTATTTCCTTCACCATATTTTCCCCTGAGTATCTATTTGAGAAGGATATCTTTATATTTGTTTTGCAGAATGATGATACTGAGGTTATCAGTTTTCTTCTTCAAACAGAAATAGTTCCCTTGGGTCTACGCACCATAGAAATTGGAAGTGAACTATCAAAAACAGTTAGAGTATCGAATTTCCTGGATTTGCTATTACATAGAACTTTCAAATGTCTTCTAATTATATAGTCCCTCTATCTGACGTATTTTTGTTTGACGTCTTCGTGTTACACCACATATATTCTGCTTTTGAATCTTCTTTTGTAAAAAATTAATATGAAAACAGATTATAAAGTAACTATTCATCAAAATGAAGAAAGCAAACTTAGATCCAAAGAAATTTACTAACATACAACAAAGGAAAGAAATAGCAAACCCATAAATAAAAAAATACTTAAATACAAAGTTAAATCTCACAGTAAGTCGTGCGCCGGCGGCTGTGAGTTCGGAGGAGTGCGTCGGCGGCTGGGTCGAATGTAGATGGTCGTAGGAGTCGAGCACGGCTTTCTTGGAGGCGTCGAAATACTAAAATACTGAACAATGATTACGAATAGGGTAGCAAGAATAGCGATACAATACATTAAAACATCCCTACGCGCGTTCGATCTTGGATGGACGGCTGAGATTTGCAAATTTTGGAACCGCCCGGTTCGGCGGTTCCCCGGTTCAACCGGGTTTAGGGCCGGTTTTTAGCTGGTTTGAAAGGCATCCGATTCTAGCAGCAAACTGGACCGCCCGCCGGACCGGTTCGCGGTTGAACCGTTCGAACCGGTCGGTCCGGTCCGGTTTTCAAAACCTTGCTTTATTGTTTTGTTTTTACACATGTAATCTCCCTTTTTTAATGATACGGGCTTCGCCCTAAAATTTCCCCAAAAAAGAATCAATGCTGGATTTGACCTCCTAACTATTAATAATAGTTAAGCTTGACCTGTTATCCAAAATAATAATATGCAATGGTGCTAGTTTCTTTTAATATTTCTCTGTTCCACTATGTCTACTGTAGACATTACCTGCTTTCGACTGTTTCATCACAGTCACTCATGTTTAACAGCTTGGGTTAATCTCCATTGTTTGATACATAATGGTTCAAGTATAAAATGCAATGTACTGTAGAAAAAGGATGAAGCAGGCTGTGCCTTTATCTTATACTCTATTCTCTTTTTCTCTTGTATGCCTATCTTCTAAAGCTGATTTATGTTTTCTCTAACTCAACGCCTGTTGCAACAGTTGTGGATGCTTTAGATTTTTTTTCTTTTGATATATTTTGGATTTTGGATACCAACTTTGGAGAAATGATTTCATTTCCGATAGAGTTGGGGCCTATTTGGAATGGTCGCAACGTTTTATAAAATTGATTTTGAAGCTACTACAGAGAAAGCCAATTCATTACTATGGTTGCATAAAATAATTTTCTATCATAATTTTTTTTGAAAAACAATGAGAAAGCAACAAGAAAATAATATTCAAATGGGATTGTAGTTGATGTTTGAAAAAGCAAAGCAGTCAAAAAGTTATCTCAAAAATTCTTAGATTTCATTTGAGATAGTTTTCTTACTGTTTCTTAAAGCAGCTTTCTAGTAGAAAAAGTTTAATTTTTGTACTAGAAATCTACTTTAAGAATAAGTAAGAAAGCCGTCTTGAACGAAGACTTAGACTTTGTTTAGGACGACTTTCTTCTCGCTTTCTAAAACAGATTTCTAGTACAATTTTTTTTTTTAATTTTAAAATTTTGTACTAGAAAACTGTTTTAAAAAGCAGTATGAATATTGTCCCAAACAAAACCTTAGTCTCTTATGCTTTTTACTTAACTTTGTTGTTGGATTTGGGGATGGTGGATATTTTATTTACTTTTTCCTATTTGGATATTGAATGCCAGTTTAGGAGATTAACAATTTGTTTTACTTAGCTGTAGATTTGCTCTCCTTTGCATTTTTATTTGATTTTGCTATTGGATTATATGCTTGTTAGATGCTCATTTTATAAATTTGTAAATAGGCAATGATGATGATTAATGTATGTTGATTACCATGAACTTAAAAAGATCATAATGTGTACTATTGTTGTCTTAGATATGAATTCTAATCCTCTATAGTTGGTATAACATAATAATATTGTGCAACACCGGTAAGAATAAGAAAAGTTCAAACTTTATTTAGGCTTCGTTTGGGACGGCTTTTTTATTGATTTCTAAAACGGAGTTTTAGTACAAAATTAAAAAAATTTGTACTAAAACTCTGTTTTAGAAAGTAATAAAAAAGCCGTCCCAAACGAAGCCTTAATCTATCTAGAAAGGTATGATTGGTAAAATATTTTCTTATTATCTTCTCATTTCAATTAACTTCTCGTTAATTTCTTTTTCTTTAATCCGAACAAGCATACTTTATTCTTATTTAAGCTTCATTTGAGACAGCTTTCTAAAGCAATTTCATAGTACAAAAATTTATAGTTTTTTAAAAAATATTTTACTAAAAAATTACTTTAGAAAGCAGTAAGAAAGCCTTCCCAAACGAAACCTTACTTACAGCTTTACACAACTTTCAAAAAATTTATGTAACAGGACGCTATTTTTTACAGTAACTTTGAAAAAAAAATACCTTATCTCCATAATAGATTTATAGCACAATCTTTATAAAAAAATTATAGTCATTTTAAACAAACCCTCATTGAGGTTCTTATTCAGTGTTGTGTGTGGTTGCAAAATTTGAGTTATATATTCTTAATGTAATTGTAAATTTTTTAAAATATTAATTATTTATATCTTTAACTGAATAGAGTGTAATACAAGACGCATGGAATAATTAAATAGTATACTAATTTCAAACTAATTTAATAATTTAAAAAATAATTCATACATACATTTCCTCGTAAATAAATATGTTAATTTTTTATAAAATTATTCGATTACTTATTTTAAGGATTTATCGCTCCAAATAAATAAAAAGAGGCCGAAAAGCTAGAAAAGCCAGCAGCTGGTGGGTAGGAGTGTCGAAGGTTTGGATTTTCCACAATGGATAATGAAGGTGGGGGGTGCCTGAGCTCGTTCATCGACCACGGGACGGTGGAGAGCCACCGCCTATTCCTTGCTCGGCGAACTGTTCTTCAAATGCTATGTGACCGTGGCTACGTCGTTGCTCCCCCGGATCTCGAACTCACTCTTTCCGCCTTCCGATCACTCTACGGCGAATACCCCGATCTCGAACGTCTTCGAATCTCCACTACTCTAGTGTCGGATCCATCGAAAAAGGTTTCTCCTCCCCCTTTCTCTGGAACTCTCCTCCCTCTCCCGAATTATTGGGAAATTAGGGTTTAGGGTTTTGGTCTCAGATTGGACTTGTTCAGGTTTTTTTTTGGCTGCAAGGTGAGCAAATGTTTCAAGGCAATTTGCACTGCTAAGCGTGTTTATTTTTTGGTTACTTTGTTTGACGCGACTTTGATCTCCTGCACAGCGATGCACAGACACTGATATGTCTCCACTGTTTACTTACTAGCATGGCAATGGTAAATTTCGTTTAAGAATCCCTCTTAGGATCGTCTCCTCCCTTTTGGAAAAAAATATCCTCACTGACCTGCTACGTTTAATCATATTGGTGGCATTGCGGAAGAATGGTGCCGCCTCCATTGATCCATATGCATATGTAAGGGAAGGAAGAGCGTGAGTGGTTATTGCACCTAATGCCAACAATTTACGAGTTATGACTTATATAAGTCAACTACTGTACCGATGGGGTGAGATTTCCAAGCTATTGTTGTTCCTTTCTAGAAATCTTTGAGGTTTTTATTTAGTTAATAATGATTATTTGAAGGGAAAGCTCGATAAAGATTACTAAACTGATTATCTTTTGTGCTTTATTTCGGTTAGTTTTCAACCACTACAAATGCCATGAACTATTGTCTTGGAATAGCTTATTGTTTTGAAGAAATGATAGCATCTTTTCTACTGTAGAGGTTAATATGTTTGGCAACTTGCCCTCCCCCTTTGCAGCTTTTATTTTGTTTTGAGGCGGTGAGGAGAAAGTGAGGGGCTGCATTTGCTGCGAGAAGTTTAGCCCTCCCCCCAAAATATTTAGATTATCTTCTTCTTTTTTTTTAAAGATTATCTTCTTCTATACAACCTAAATAATTTATTTGTAGGTTTCACCCACAAATCTTAATATTGATGGTAGCCAACCAAATCATTTCAATCTCATATACCAATTGATGATAATCATTAAATCATGAGCTGACCATTCTAGCTTGGAAATGTATTCATGGGCCTTTAGGGTTCATCCATCATCCTTTAAAAATCTTTTTCCTTCCTCCTATGTGGCCAACTCTGTGGATCATTACTGGCCAATTAGGTGGATTAAAAGGCCATTTATTGGTTTGTTAGTTATCATCTGTGAGTAGGCATGCTCAATAATGCTTGGATGCCACCACAAGTATCAAACAAGTTATTGTGCATGATAAAAAAAAATCATGATAGAGCAAACAAAAAAAATTGTTAGGCAATCATGCATAACAACTGATAGGAATCACATGACAATATGAGATTTGCCTCTTTCACAAGTTCTAGGTTGCTAAAAACAATATCAACATACATATCGCGAATTGCAAAGGGAAGCACCAAGAGGCTACACATGTTAAACTAGTGGTAGTAATACCACAGTGGTATAGGGACAATATGGAGGAAGATTGATTTGGTGGAAACCTTATTCAATATACGTAATTAATGCATAAGATTTCCGCTTTACTATTTAATATTCTTTTATTTGTAAATCATGTAAGATATAAATATAGTATTCCTAGAATGCTTTATTGGGTTTAGCCATGCTCTGGTTGAATACATGACAAATTTTATAAGGATATTAGGATAATATATAAGGTTTGTATTTAAATTATATATGCTTTTTAGTTGTGTCTGTCTCTAATATTCATTAAATATTGGTGTTATTTCTGTCTATAATTAATATTAGAAGTTTTTGTTTATGATTTGATTGTTACATGCTAGTCTAGGATGAGGTCTGGCCGCTGGCGGTGAAACATGAACCATCATTTTTAACTTATCTAGTCTTGGGAAAATTGTACATTTGGGATGGTTTAGTTGCATTGCTGACATATTTGAAATAGTAAAGAAATGTAGAGCATTGATTTAAAAGAATTAATTTAGTTTCATACTATGAAAATCCATCATGATAACTGTTAGGAAGGCATATAGAGTAGAGAGAATTTTTATTTATCTAGAAAAAGGCTTATGATTGAGTGCCACAAGAATTAATTTGGTGTGTATTAAAGAAGACATATATGTGCTTAAGATATGTTGAATTTATTGAAGATATTTATGATGGATGATTGATTAATTTTAGAAGTAACTGTGGATTAATCAATAAGTTTTTGATTATAATTGATGTACATCAAATATTAACGTTAGATGTTTATTTTTTATATTAGTTATAGAAATGCTTACAAAGGATAATCCAATTGAGGTGTTTTGGTGTATGTTTTTTGAGATGGCATAGTTCTAATCGATGAGATATGTTTTACAACAAGTACAAAGTTAAAAAAAGGGAAATTATTTAGAAGAGAAAAGTCTCAGAATTAATAGAATAAACATTGTTATGAGTTATGCAAATTTAATGGTTTTGATATTAACAATTATCAAGCAATATTATTTGAAGATAAAGTATCTTGGATCAAGTATAAATAATAATGAGGAGGTAGATAAAGACATTAGCTATAGAGTTAAGTCTGAATAGTTAAAATAGAAAAATGTCTTAGGAGTGTTTATGCGATAAAAGGGATATCATGGAGATTTGAATTGTAGTTTGTAAATTTTATCAAGCTACAAATAGGCACGTTATGTTGCTTGGATTTGAGTGTGAATAGGAAACACATCTTGGTAGCTAAGTTAAGCATGAAGGAAATGAGAATGTAGATATGGATGAATTTTGAAATCAATGGCATATAATGGAGTATCACATGAATTGATTTGATGTGCATTCAGGAAGAAAAATGTGTTCAAGGTATGTAGAAGTTATTGAAGTTAGTTAGTATGATGTATTACTGACTAATTTAGAATTAGTTGCATAGTGACTAAAGAGTTTTCAATTATAATTGATTCATATCAAGGACAAATATATGGTTCATATTTGTTTAAGCTGATTACAGAAATGCTTACAAATGATATAATTAAATTGAAGTGCCTAATTGCTTTGTTGTATGCTTTCTTGCAATGACAATTTTAATCTTTGAGACATGTTTTGAAGTATGTAAAATGTTAGAAAAATGTAAAAAAAAAAAAATTCAAGAAAAAAGATTCCAAATAATAGAAAAAAACATTGGTTATATATTATTACATTTTAGTGGTCTTGATATTTGAGATTGTATAGGAAACACATCTTGGTAGCTAAGTTAAGCATGAAGGAAATGAGAATGTAGATATGGATGAATTTTGAAATCAATGGCATATAATTGAGTATCACATGAATTGATTTGATGTGCATTCAGGAAGAAAAATGTGTTTAAGGTATGTAGAAGTTATTGAAGTTAGTATGATGTATTAATGACTAATTTAGAATTAGTTGCTAGTGATAAAGAGTTCTCAATTATAATTGATTCATATCAAAGATAAATATTTGGTTCATATTTGTTTATGCTGATTACAGAAATGCTTACAAATGATATAATTAAATTGAAGTGCCTAATTGCTTTGGTGTATGCTTTCTTGCAATGACAATTTTAATCAATGAGACATGTTTTGAAGTATGTAAAATGTTAGAAAAATGAAAAAAAAACATTTTGAAGAAAAAAGATTCCAAATAATAGAAAAACATTGGTTATATATTATTACATTTTAGTGGTCTTGATATCAACAATTATCAATCAATATTATTAGTTGAAGTGATATCCATGTGTGGGTTGAATTCTCTTGGGCTAATTATGCAAAATAATGAGGTTGTAGATAAATATATAGTTTTTAGAGTAAGGATGGATAATAAAAATGGCGAAGTGTCTTAGGAGTTTTTCTTAATAAGAGGATAACATAGTCTTAATAAGTAAATTTTATAAAACTACAATCAAGTCTATTGTGTTGATGGGATTTAAGTGCTAAATAGGAAAAAAAGGTCATTAATAGCTAAGTTGAGCATGGAGGAAATGAGAATGCAAAGACGGATGTGCGATAAAGCTAAGAAGGATATATTAAAGAATGAAATGTTAGAGTAGCGGATGGAGTTGAAAATAGACTTGGGTAATTTAGCTGTATCAAAAAGAGGGGTAGAAGATGCAATCACGAAATGGGTAAATAACTTCATGCCAAAGGATTAGTAAGGGAAATGTTTAATCTAATGTAACATGGAAAGGGGTATACTTGGGTAACAAAATAGAACTCGAAATGAGTGTTTTTTTATAAAGTATATAATGAATATAAATAATATAATATACATATAATACATTGTATATTATGTGTATTTAGGTATAAAACTAATGAAAAATGAATGATGAGTCGAATTTGAGTCGAATCTTCTCAGTTCTTTTCAAAATATTTTTTAGTTGAGTTTGAGCCGACTTCTAATCAAAATATTCAATTTTGAGTTGAGCCAAAATTTTACTTGTAATCATCCTAACCTGTGACAATTCAAAATCATAAGACAACATATATGATGCATCCTTTAAAGGTTGCTTGACGAAGATTGGTCTCTTTTTCATTTCAATTAATTCCTCTTCCATCCTAACATCATAAAGACAATCGTGGTAGGAACTCATGTACCTTCTAGTTTGGCATGGTGAAGGGAAGATTGACAACTCAAAGCTAAGGACCTCAAAAGAAACTGCTCAAGATTCTTGTTCTTTAACTCGAGTATCTCCCTGTTCTTTTGTGAAGCACATTGTATTATTAATCATATATTAATGTATTTAGATTAGGGGTGCAACCGAGTCAAGCCGGCTCGCGAGCCGGCTCGAACTCGACTCGATAACAGGCTCGACGAGTCGAGCTTATCGAGCTCGCGAGTCGAGCTTATCGAGCTCGCGAGTCGAGCTCGAACACTATTTCGAGCTCGTTGGCTTATCGAGCTCGAGCTCGAACAGAGCACTGCTTGGCTCGTAGGCTCGACAAGTAGCTCGATGGAGGAGGCTGGGAGCGGAGTTTGCTCGACGGCGGGAAAAGCAAAATGACGGGCGGGAGCGGAGTTCCTCGTCTCTTTCTCCAGCCCGAGACAAGTCCAAAACACCCGCGAGCAAAAATTCTCATGTTCTTTCCTTCTCGCG